ATTTGCGTTCCACATGCGTTCCAAACACGCTCCAAATGCGTTCCAAGTACATTCACTGCTCTTTTTCAACTAGAACAGCGTGGAGCCATCAATATAAGTGATCATCAAAAAGGACAAAGCCCAAAAGTGTTTAATACATTAAATGTAATTAATCTCTAGAAGAAGAAAAGTGAATTAGTGTATATAATGTACAACAAACATGTTAAGATAGTTCATATGGAACTTCCCCCCTAATTCTAACCTATATAATCTTGTCTTCACCCCCGAGTGGAATAAACATGAGATCCATTTTTTGGATCTTGATATTTTTTGTGATCAGGGTCAAATTCAAACTAAATGTTTTTTTAAACCAACAGATGGGAATGGCTTTGTACATCAACAAAGCTGTCACCATAAGCCTTGGCTTAGGGGCATAGCACGGAGCCAATTTACCAGATTGAGACGTAATTGTTCTCGCCCTCAAGACTTCCAGATTCAATCTTCCCATATAAAAAATAAATTATGTGCAAGGGGCTACAATAAGAATACGTTAGAAAAAGAAATTCGATCAATTGGTCTTCTTGAACGGAATAAACTCTTGGAGGATAAACCTCCTAATACTGCTGGGAATATGAATTTTAAATCAGCCTTTGTCACCCAATACAATACGGACCATTTTAAGATCAAAAGGAGCCTAAGTGATTTTTGGCCCATATTACAACAGGATCCCATTTTGGGTAATTCTTTGTCTGAACGCCCGATGGTGATATTTAAGAAAAATAAGAACTTTAAAAATATGCTAGCCCCTAGCTATGCTATTAAAATGAATAGTTCTAATGTACCCCCTGAATCGGGTTGCTTTAGGGGATGTAATGTGTGTAAAGCATGTACCACCGCCTTTATGGAGAGAACTAAGGAATTTATTGGTTATATCACGGGAGAGACCTTCAGGATTAAATCATTGATAGGTTGCCACACGGACTATGTAGTATACTTACTGCAGTGTCCGTGTGGCAAACAGTATGTGGGACGCACGAAACGAATCCTGAAGGTCAGGATCTTGGAACATTTAAATAATATACGCAAAGGACTGGTTACTCATTCAGTCTCTGCCCATTGCAGTAATTGTCCTTCCTTCTCCTTTAGAGATTTTAAGTGTATGGGTATCGAACATGTCCTTCCCTACTGGCGGGGAGGCGATAGGATCAAAAAGTTATCCCAAAGGGAAACCTTTTGGATACACAAATTAAAGACCCTTGAACCTAGGGGTCTGAATATTGGGATCGATCTGGTGTGTTTCTTGGATTGATTTTTTGGTTATTTTTTCTCCTCTATGTGAATTATTCCATATGTATCTTTGGGAATATGAGGAGCTCTGGCAGTTCAAATATATGGAAAAAGAAGTGTCTTTAATCAATACAATTCATAAATAAGATATAAATAATAAAATAAAAAAAAACAAAAAAACTTTATACTATATAGCTAGGTGTACCGTGTAGGTTATATTGTTTAAAATTATTATTATTGATATTGAGGGAACTTTTTTAGGAATATATTACTTGAGTTTGTATTTTTATAATAAGGAGATGTTTGTCACTTCAAATAGACATACATGGCACTATTTAATGGTGTATGATATTGGCATATATAAAATATGGGGGGAAGTTCCATATGAACTATCTTAACATGGTTGTTGTACATTATATACACTAATTCACTTTTCTTCTTCTAGAGATTAATTACATTTAATGTATTAAACACTTTTGGGCTTTGTCCTTTTTGATGATCACTTATATTGATGGCTCCACGCTGTTCTAGTTGAAAAAGAGCAGTGAATGTATTTGGAACGCATTTGGAGCGTGTTTGGAACGCATGTGGAACGCAAATGGAACGCGGAAGTGAAGGCAGACATCCACTTCCGGTTTCGGCTTTCACATTGAACGCGCCCTTTTCAAACTACCCAAACACTATCAGCTGGAGGACAATACCCCTGGATAGATGAATGGCTGGCTACTGGATACTCCTACACCATGGACCAATGGGACTTTGGGACTAGCCCTATATATAGAGATTCTGTTAAGGGGAAAGTAGGATGTTATTTTATAATCTATGATATTGTCTGTGATTTTTTTACTGTGCGGTCCCTGATGAAGTTCTAGTTTTGAACGAAACGCGTTGGACCTATTGCTGCACTTTTAAACCTTTATTCTTATGGTGCTTGTTCACCTTTTAAGAAAATAAAAGTATTGCTTTTCTACTACTATTTACTTGGAGTCCCGTGTTCCATTGGTCGCTCTACATCGGAAAGGGGGAAACCACTAGCCCCCTATGCTATCTGGGGAGGCACCCTATGAATGCTTTTCTATCTTCATCATCTTGTGAGTGCATCCATTTAAGTGCACTATTCATTGTATTTACTGTATTACACTATTGTGTTTTTTTCCTTTATATGTTCCCTTTATAGATTGTACAGCCCATTTCTGTCTGGGGTTCTGTCTGGGGTTCTTTGCATATGTTAAGATCGTTTGTTGGATAACGATCCTGGGAGGCTGCAGATTGATTGAAGCTAAGTAATTTATTTAATCAGAACACTTATTTAAAGGTGTTCGTTTGTGTGTTTTTTGCTACTGAAATATCAATACCTGCCATAGACATAGTTTGTCTTATCCATCTGGCTAAAGATGTAGAGGAGACAGGCAGAAAAGGTTTACAAAAAGAGATTAGTAATTAAAAGAGATTAGAATTTCTTATAGATGAGGTTTTAACCCCTTAAGGACACATGACATGTGTGACATGTCATGATTCCCTTTTATTCCAGAAGTTTGGTCCTTAAGGGGTTAAACTCGTATGTTGGAAGATAATTGACAGCACATAGAAGAGGGTGGTCAGAAAATGAAGGATAGAACACAGGGCGGAGATTAGTTTTGGTACGTCTAACAATAGAGAAATTAACACCATCAGGTACTGTCTATTATTTAGGTCTAAACCTTAATGTCAGAAACTCTGAGGCATAGTAATGTGGTAAGCGTAAACGAAAGCAATTTTAAGGATAAAGAGTCATTGTCACCCTACGATTCTATTAACTGGAGAACCAGAGTAACATCCCAAGAAGAATGATATTTAGGGCATGGAAGACGCTGAAATCTTATACCCTTCATACTTCATACCCTTCTGCAGACTAAGGGATGTTTTAGCTGGCTGAGCGGTCATGTTGGAACAGACTCCACTCATATCTGACCAACTGCTGCTCAGCCTAACCTGCCATCAGCTGTGATTGCTCTGCGTCAACCGTCCGCTGTGATCGCTCTGCGTGAACCTTCCGCCGTGATCACTCTGCGTGAACCGTCAGCCGTGATCGCCCTGCGTGAACCGTCTGCCGTGATCCCCTGCGTGAACCGTCCGCCGTGATCGCCCTGCGTGAACCGTCCGCCGTGATCGCCCTGCGTGAACCGTCCGCCGTGATCGCCCTGCGTGAACCGTCCGCCGTGATCGCCCTGCGTGAACCTTCCGCCGTGATCGCTCTGCGTGAACCATCCGCCGTGATCGCTCTGCGTGAACCGTCAGCCGTGATCGCTCTGCGTGAACCGTCAGCCGTGATCGCTCTGCGTGAACCGTCAGCCGTGATCGCTCTGCGTGAACCGTCAGCCGTGATCGCTCTGTGTGAACCGTCAGCTGTGATCGCTCTGCGTGAACCGTCAGCTGTGATCGCTCTGCGTGATTGCTCTGTGTTTAGCAGCAGTTGTCCTTTAAGAATGTCCTTTTATCAAGAAGGATAATCATGGCAATGAAACTGAATACTTCAATCACCTATTACCTACTCACAGTGTATTAAAGGCCAGGTCTATTTTGTTTACATGTGTATCCGGGTTTGCATTGCAATCAGTCAGATTCCAGCTTCAGTCTCCCCACGCCTCGCCCTCAGGCCCTGGAGGTCATGCTTTGAAGCTCTGGATAAGATCGATGGGAGTTGTAATATCTATTAATATTTCCCTTGAAATTTCACAAGGGTACAAACATCTAAAATGTATCCAAAACAACTGTATGAATAGACTGAAATACAATATCAAAGATAAAAGTTCCGGACTGTGAAAATAAAATATTGAACTTAAAGAGAAACACATGAAAGTCCAAGAACGTGTCTGTCTGTAGGATCCAAATATGGGGAAGTCCACAATAATAACGAGGCCACACTCTTGTACTGGAATTTCCTAAAATATAAATAGTGTAATTCTGTGATTGTAACGCCCCAGTACAAAAGAGAATCCCTCCCCCCAAAATGAATTAAATGTGGTACAGACAGACACGTTCTTGGACTTTCATGTGTTTCTTTTTAAGTTCAATATTTTCTTTATTTTCACAGTCCGGAACTTTGATGCTTTGATATTGTATTTTATTCTATTGATACATTTTAGATGTTTGTACCCTTGTGAAATTTCAAGGGGATTATCTTCTAAGCGCTGACAATATATTTTAACGCTTAGTATAGGATTTGGGAAATTCTTTTTGTTCCAGCTGCTAATACTTAGAGGGTACTTTGAGTACCACCTTGAATAGTCATATATCTATAATTTTCTGCGCTCTCTTTTTTCATTTTTATCTATTAATATTTAGCTGTTGTAGATGCGAACATCCATTTTGCTCAATAGCCTAGCTGTTCATATAAGGGTTAATTTGACCCAAGAATAAATTTGGAATTGTATCTCCAATTCTCGTAAATAAAACGTATCTATTTACGGGAAATGTTATTGGAACATGATTTTGGATATCTACATGACATGACATGATAAGGATTCTGGAATGACCTTGTTAATTGTCCAAGATTTCGGTATTTGTAATCATCTGGGTTTTATCCAATATGCATACATTATGTAACATCGAATTATAACTAAAAACAGCTGTTTATAACTTGTGAAAAACAATGTCATTGTCACGCCCATATGCTCATTTTTCCCCCTCCCATCCTGCTATGAAAATGGGGTATAAATATAACTGACGTATGAATACAATTTGAATTGGTTATCGAACATGTCTCTGCTATTCATTTCCAATTTCCAGAGCTCTGTATGAGTTGGCAAATATCCATCATCCACAAAGGGCCCGGGCTGATTTTATCCCCAACAAACTGGTGTCAGAAGTTTTTGGGTGCAATTGGACGGAACAGAGATGACAGGTAAGAGGATCTTTAAAGTCCTTCTTTACCTGCTTCTCCCATCCCCCACACATTGCATTTGTAATGGGGTTTTTCACTTTTTAAAATTTTAAAGGGGATTTTCACTGCATAATGTCTTTGGTAGACATGGTATTTATAAGTCTTAGGTAGACTTCTATTACTCCACGGGTTGGAGGATTGCCTTTGGTAGGCAGTAGTAGTTATGTGCACATGTCCTCTTTGGTAAGAGGTTCACCTTTGGCCAGGTGTTAAAAAGAATTTCAAGCCTTTGGTAGGCTGTGATGTACCTGTAATGTACATTTACATATGGGAGACGTCCCTAGATCCCTCTTTGGTAGAGGTTGCCTTTGGTAGGTTGTAAAACAGATTTCCAGTCTTTGGTGGACTGTGGTATTTATTTAACGTAGATGTCATTTTTGCAGACTAAATTGGTTTAAAAAAAAAAAAAGGGGGGGGGTTAAAAGGTATGATGGATGTTTGGCATTACTCCGGCTTGCAAATTTATGTGCTATTTTATGATGTGCAACGCTGATTTTAAGCATAAAGTCTTAATTGAGGGAATGTCAAAAGTACATGTAAAGGTGATGATGAATAAAAAATAAATAAAAAAAATTAGAGGTTATTTAAGGGGGGCTACAAATTCTAGAACTAACATGATTTCTCTGAATGTATGTTTGTTTGCATAATGAGCCCCTTATTTTTATACTTGGACAAAAGTACTATAAGCCCACTACACTTTTTCATGAGAGTGGGATGTATGATTGTTTATATGATGAGCCCTTTATTTTCATATTGGGACAAAAAGTCACTTCATTCAAAATGTCAAACACCACATTCTTTCTGCCCTGAGTGTTTGTTGCAGAGAATTTATGTTGTAAATTTAGATGATTATAAATTAGAGAGCAAAATTTATATTTTCAGCGTTCCAACACATGCTTCATTCTGTGCTGTAAGCTAACTTGTAGTATTCCAGTACGTCACATGTTGTATGTGCTTTAAATTGTATGTATTCTGTAAATTGTTGTATGGGGATTCTGAGATTTTATTGCTTGTGACCCAAACTGTGAAGAAGTGGGTTTGAAATTTTGCTCATGAAATATAGGATCAGAAAACCATGGACAAAGGTTTTTACCTGTGTTGATATGACTTTTGGAAACTCAAACTGACCGGTCAAAATTTTGCCATGCCTTTAACATGGAGTAGTATAAATATTTTGAGTCTTTGAGAGTTCTGACAAATGCAGGTGATACCATGTCTGTGTAATCTGGTCCAAATGTTCTAGAAGCGTATAAGAGAGAAATTCTATTGACAGGGTACATATGTTGCAACTGGTTAATGCAAGTGTTATACAAATGTTTAAGTCAAACGCGTTATATGGCCGTACGGGATCCCTTCTGTAAAAAATAAACCCTTTTGGTACCAGAAGTCTTAAATAAATCCGATACAAACTAAAATTGGTATACCTTACAATAATATGTTCTGAATACAGCTGTTAGAAGTTTATTCTGTGTGAATGGTGATTGTGATAAATGTGTGTTTTGGTTACTCATTTTAAAGTGTGCAGTTTTAATTGTCATGTATGTTAATGGCTATTTTGCTGTGTTATTTTAAATTATATTTGAATAAGTTTGTCTTACGATTGATACAGATGAAAATGGCAGCGTAATAATCTATTAAATAACTGATTTATTATTGAATACTAGTCCAAGAGCAATATGAGTTGTAGTCTTAAGAAAGAAAAAAAGGTGGGAGTCTGTTTTTGTAAGTTTTAGCTGATTTCCAAAATTCTGTTGCAATAATGGACGTCCTGCCAAAATTTGACTTTCCTGTCCAGTTGCCAGGTGCTCTGATCTAATCTTAAAGTAGTACTGATTGCAAAGTTTGCAGACATGCATAATGCACAAACATGAGAACCAAATTATGTCTGTCATAGTGTGACATTTATTAATTTATTTTGGATTGAGTTAATTGCCTGTCCATGAATATGCTTTTTGTATTGGCATGTCTGCTGGATATCTGCTAATTTCGTTGTGTTCTGTGTTATAAGATGATGTGTGATATTACAATGTGTATGAAGAATATTTAAAGAATATTTGCATGTCATTAACGCAAGCCTTTAGTGTCTTTTTACAACAGATTAAAAAAACGCTGATCAGCCAACAAGAAAGGGGCCCCTGGGAAAGAAAAAGAAAAAATATATAATTTGCTTTTCAAAATCGTGGATCCACGTTTCAGTATAATTAGGGGAGTATTTAGAGTTAACGCTACTTTTAAAGTGCATTGCATTATTTAAGAAAAAGAAAAATGTGTTATCTTTAACATAAACAATTGTTATGTTATATGGTTATATAACAAGAAAAAATTATGGATGTATAGGATAGGTTTTTTCCAAGATTAAGATTCATCTAGTATGCCTCATTGATTATAGGAAAATGATGAAATGTTATTTTTTAATAGAGATCAGATAATTTCTTTTGAGGCAATTCTAAACTACTGTATTATATTTGTATTGGTATATTGAAAGCATTTTGCTGACCCAGAAGAGAATAAATAATATAATAATTATAAAAGGAACCATACTATGGGAAGAGGTCACCCTATGAAATGGCTAAGGGGTTAAACTCATTTTAATAAGCATATAAAATTTAGTTTTTGTGGTTAGAATTTTTTATACTCCATTTGAACTCAATTGAAGTATTACAACCATATCCTTGCAGGTATAGGAAACAGCTGCAATATGATTTTAATATTTGCAATATATTAGTGTTCTGACAATGGAAAAGTTCCTAACCGCATGTCTGTATTACACCTCTGACCCAGACTGTCAGTATTGCAAACCCTATATGAAGACTCTGCTTTCACTGTTTATGTATACACCCCTAGACGACCGTGCTATACGTGCACAATAAAGCTTATTAATATTATATCTGTGTGGTACACAAAGAGGTGTACACAAAGAGGGGGTGTGAGTTAGGTCATCTCGACCTTCATATGGAATATGCTTCCTCCTTGTTCACTTTTGGTCAAACTGTTGGTCTGTGACTGGCCCTCTTTGACCCCAACTGAATTTTTTGGGAAGATACATGAGAAAGATACAGCAGGTTGTTTTGATATAAAGAAAGAGGGAAAAGTATGTTGTATCGGTCACAAAAGGATTGTGATCTTAAGCAGGCAAGACAAAGAAATTTTGGAGGTGATAGGAGATTGAATCAGAAAAGTTTCAGAGGCAGAGAATTTGATCAAAGGATCTAACTTTTGTAGAGGTGGTAACTTCAGCACTGTTTTAATTGTGGATAGCAGGGATTCACCCAAAGGTGCTTGTGGTGAACCCGGTTCTCCTGGTCAACCTAGTCAAGCTGGCATTCAAGGACTCCCACCCTGGCAGGTTCCTCAATACCAACCACAACTTTCAAGCTATACCCACACCCAACAACCTCAGCCTAATACACAGATGGTTCATGTTTTTAATACTTTATATATATAGTTTTGATAGATAAAACAGTATTAATGCTGGCTCTTAGAGGATGTACAAGCTAAAGTTGGGACCTAGACATTGTTTGCATAGGCTGTGCAATGTGAAATAACTAAAATAAAATAGGATAATAAGTATGCTTAGTCAATTTGTAACGTGGTATCCTAGAGGTATCTGCAATAAAATAAGTGGGTTTCCAAGACCTGACAAGTGAGGGCAACTTAATATAACATATGTCTACAGTTTGCTGTCCCTTCCTTATCAGAGGCCACTTGCAACACAGCAGGACAACTCTTCTGAAACCTGTATTAAACAAAGCACTTTAGAACAATAGTAATTCATTTTGTGTCTCTAGTAGTTCTGAAAAAATATATTGTTTAAGTGGGATAACTGTATGGAGGTTCTAACATGTATTAAAACATGATCACACACCTACAGAACTGGTGGCTTTTTGGACATCGGGATCTATAAAGGGTTTCGGTTTCCAAAGATGTTATCAGGGTCCACAAAACTGACAGACTTCAGAATTTCAATGTTATTAAAGTAATTAATTGAGATTATCAAATCAAGGTTTAAATTTAAGAACAGCATTTTATTGGGAATTATACCAATATGTATATGTTATTGTTTTAGTACTCAACAAGCATTTATATAGAATGAGTGCTTCTCTCATCCATACAAAGGCATTCTAAAGGGAAATTATGTATTAAAATTTTATAAAGGACAAATAAAAAAACATAAACATAAAGGACATAAACAAAACTGAGAGAAGTACATGTTACACTAGTTAAGAGTTTAACTTTAGTATCCTATTTGAGTTTAGCCTAGATAATTAATTTATTGATGTCGTACTGATCCTTGTGTTTGTATGATTATAGAGACCGTACTGGAGTATTTGTGCCGCCTGATATTTGGGACTACACACCAATCTCTCTGGCTGACCTACCTGCCTACCTACCTTTTTTTGCAATTAAATCTGTTTGGTCAAAATCCATGCTGGCCGAAGAAACCGAGATGCTTACTTATGAGGACATAAACTAACTTGGAAAGTCCTGAAGATGCAGTGCTGTCTAATGCCACTATTTCTGTATAACCCTTCAACAATTGGGGTGTTGCACAGAGTATTGTGGTGAACATCCAGCAAACAGAAGTTTTTAAGAACTATGTGGAAGCTGACATTGTCTTGTTGTCAGCCATATTGCTACCCTTAGCTATGTTATGGTGTCTAAGATTATGGAACAAAGTTTATGGTGTCTAAGATTCTTTATACTCCTTGAAAGACTTATAATAATTTTCTGGACTATGCTGGACAATTGAACTATTTTGTTATTTTTATTTTTGTAGCGTTAGCCAGAGAGAGAGGAAGTGTTAGCTTACTCAGGCATGGATGTACTATGTGTGTCATTGATGTATGTTGAGTGTACCAAGGATGGATTCCCATGTATTAAGTGTGGATATGACTGGACCATCGAAATAGGGATTTGATTAGGAGGCATAGGACGCAAGGTCATGATTGGGATTATTGCTAGAATTGCAAACTGATTAGAAATGATCTCATGATTTAATATGTAAGTGGGCCTTTTCAAACTAATCAAGAAGTGTTTCCCAATCCCGATACCCGAGCTATTTACTTACAAGTGCAGGTTTTATACGTCACTAATGCTGTTAACGTGAGGGGATGACATGTCTACACAGTCATGGCCCTCACTTAGAGTTTCCCCAGATGTGCTTTTTTTCCTCAATTATGAGTTTTTGCCACTGGGTTTTTTGACCTGGCCCAAGTTCACTGGGTGGACTGGTAATCCAAGACCCTGGTGCAAAGAGGGGAAATAGATTTTATTCCCATTTTTGATTATATGTGTTTACGTTGTGAATTATAATAATAATAATATTCCCGTTGTTGAGAATAATACACTTTGCCTGTTTTGATCCAAGGCTCAAGTTACAGATAACATGATGTGCAGTCTGTTTAAAATTGATTAAGATGTCAGCTGTTTGAAATATTTAACTTGTACACTTAAAAGATGTGTACAACAGATGATTACAGAAGCTGAAAATCGACAGCTCGATCTCCTCTTAAAGGGAAAACCTACGGCACAGAGCAAATGGGGGAAATCGAGGTGAAGAAATAATGAAAGTCCCACAGACGTGATTAGCACGTCTGAATATAAATCCTTTCGTTTCTCTGCCGCAGGCCTCCCATGGATATTCCGTAAGGTAGATCATGATATGATCTAAGAGGGGAATTGTAGATGCGAACATCCATTTTGCTCAATAGCCTAGCTGTTCATATAAGGGTTAATTTGAACCAAGAATAGATTTGGAATTGTATCTCCAATTCTCGTAAATAAAACGTATCTATTTACGGGAAATGTTATTGGAACATGATTTTGGATATCTACATGACATGACATGACATGATAAGGATTCTGGAATGACCTTGTTAATTGTCCAAGATTGTGGTATTTGTAATCATCTGGGTTTTATCCAATATGCATACATTATGTAACATCGAATTATAACTAAAAACAGCTGTTTATAACTTGTGAAAAACAATGTCATTGTCACGCCCATATGCTCATTTTTCCCCCTCCCATCCTGCTATGAAAATGGGGTATAAATATAACTGACGTATGAATACAATTTGAATTGGTTATCGAACATGTCTCTGCTATTCATTTCCAATTTCCAGAGCTCTGTATGAGTTGGCAAATATCCATCATCCACAAAGGGCCCGGGCTGATTTTATCCCCAACAGCTGTCACATTTCTTGTCCCATGGAATTCCGGTATAAAGAGAGGACATGTTAATTGACATGAGGTTATCCAGGAGTTTCAGACACTGCTGGGACACAGGAACGTGCTAACATGTTTAATGGATCTCCAGGGTAGAAATAACTGACGGGGTAGATAGAGTCTGGACTAAATGTATATATACTTTGTACAGCACCAACCTGACAGTTAGTGAATCTCTCCATACATTGGACAAAGGAACCCCAAAAATCTGAGTGAGTCTTTTAAACCAAATATGTTTCACTTTGAGAGTAACCCATGTCGTTTCTATAGGTAAAATGATACGCTGTTGCTGTGGGGATATTAGTACAATGATACAAAGACCTATTCACACTGCCTGACCTTACCTTTTCATACCCACAGGGACAGGGGTGTAGAAGACTCTTTCCCGTTCTGTTCAGTTGTCCGTATCCCCCTTGTTCGTTTCCCATATGGCCATGTGGACCCCCTTTGACATCTCCCCGATCACCTACCACCCCTGGCTGTTAACCGCAATTAAGTAATTAACTCTAGTGCTTTCCCTGGGTGGTCGCCAATTCGTAAAACCAAACGCATGTGCTCCAGTGAATGGCAGCCATTTTGTCTCCTGAACACAGGCAGCGGTACATGGTCGAATGCTTGGAACTATTTTCGTCCATGCAATCCCACAAACCCAGGCAAAGATTGTACCGCTGCCCGTTCACTTCCCAAACCAGCTAGACGAACGATGTTCGGGAGATAGGAACTGGGATGGACCGCTAGGCACCCCGACTGGGTGCCTCCGCCAACCGCTGGTTCCTAATCGCCTTGAGTACTATAAACACCGCACACCATAAGTACCGTAGCCCGTAGTCCTCTAAGACAAGGATCCAGCTTCCAGTGGGTGGACCTCTCCTCCTCCAGAGCAGATCTGGCTGTGTAGCTCTTATGAGAGCTAGTGATTATAGCCAGTATAGTAATCCAAAGAGCAATCCCTGGAGCAGGGATTATAGCTGGTATAGCAGTTCCCTACAACAAGAGACAAGTCTCTGTGTTGAGGGTGAAGCAAGACTGAATTTTAATGGTGCCACACTGGCCTTTTATGACAGTCCCCATGAAAGGTGTATGCCCATATGGACCTTATTGGGGACTCCAACACAAAGACACAGACCAATAAGAACAGTGATTAAATGCATGACACTCCCATCACAAACATACAATCCCTCCCCTCTGCCTGGGAGATAATTGAGTCAGACGTAACAATTCAATTATCTCCAGGCAGAAAAAAAACACATATTTCTAAAAAGTCCCAAAAGTACCCCAAAACACAAAAACACATTATCCCCACAAATGTAACATCCCCTGATAGCCCTGATCTAGGTGACCAACATATCCAAAAATCACCCAGATCAGGGGGGCATGTCCGGCAGCCGATGGAGATGGCCGCCTAACTCTGCAGCTCCCCGTGGCACTGCGATCAAACCCGCATTATAACTCCCCAGCTCACCTGCACACACCATATTGGTCACACAAGGTGGCTGGCAGACCCCGTGGCACCCCAAGACCCGCGGGACACGGAGGGGATCAATCGATCCGAGCTTTCCTCCACACCGTCAGCCGCGATCAGTCCCCGCGGAGGGAAATGGAGGCCGCAAGCCTGCAGCTCGAATCCCTCCCATCCACGCTGGCGGTATTCTCCCTGGCTCCATCTCCTTCCCTGGACCCACAGCAACCACAAGGGGGTGAGTGGAGAGATATTTTGCCAAACTTGCTCACAAAGACTGATTTTGAAGCCCTTTCTGACAGATTGGGCCGGGTGGTCCATGAGGAGGTGGCCCAGTTGTGCGCAGATGTGGCAAACGTAGAGGCCCGCATGGCAGTAGCAGAGACTGAAGCAAGGGCGCGCAGGACGGATTTAGAACTCACAAACGTGACGGTCATGAAACAAGACGCTGACTTAGCCTTCCTTACCACATGGGTTGATGATTTAGACAACCGCGGCCGCAGGATGAACCTGCGTGTCCGCGAGAAGGGGGCCACTCAGAAAACATACCGGAAATATTGTGACAGATCTTTACCCAGAATTGGCCTGACCCGCGCACACAGAGCGCTGAGACCCGTACCAGCACGTGAGGAACAACCAAGAGACATAATATGCTGTCTGGAAAATTACCACCTAAAAGAAGAAATACTACGCACAGCCAGACGCATGGGGATGATCCGAATGCAAGGTCAGACCGTATCTATCTACCAAGACCTTTCATGCTACACCCGGCAGGCCAGGAAGGCCCTGCGGCCGGTGACGTCAGCGCTGCAACAAGCCAACATACCGTACCGCTGGGGATACCCGTTCTCCCTCACAGCCAGACACGGACAAGACCAACTGACAATACGGAAGCCAGATGTTGTCCAAAGATTTCTTCACACTCTAGGCCTCCCGCCACAACAGGTGCCGGACTGGCTGGCGAGATCATTCCTCCAACAACCACCGGGCCCGCAACAACAACAACCACGCAGACCCAACGCGGACCAGCAAAGGCCCCGACCCCAGCACCAACGCGAATGGCACCAGGGCCAAGCGCAGAGGGAGCAGTAACAGACCACAGCACCGCACAGCTGAGGCAAGGACATGGGGACTCCCATACTATTGATGAGACCTAGCTGAATCGTGAGTACCATCACAGGGGACACCTTAAGAGAACCACACAAGTACGCAGAAATTGGGGAGGGAGTCGGGGGACCAAGGGCCACAAAGACACTATACCTCAACCATAATATGCCGGGGGGGAACACGCAAGGCACGACCAGAGCCTTGCCCCTTAACGCAAGCTCAACCGGGAAGGCACCAGGACATTTGGGGAGGGGGACAGGGGAAGGAGATATGGCGAATACGACCATATGGGGAATGCAGGGCACAGGCGGACACAAAGACAGTGCAATCACGCTGCACCGAACGTAAAGACGCAACTCCGGAGGCCTCCAGGGCCGTGTATACCCACAGTGCTAACGGGAACTTAGCAGGGGGAAGGGGGAGAAGCGGGAGGGGGGAGTAACGGGAGGGGGGTTAAGGGGCCCCTGATCAATAAGGGTTAGATGGAAACACACGAAACGAAAGGGGTGGGAGCGAGGAGAAACAAAGGAAAACGGGAGAATACAGGGTGGGAACACTAAAGGGAGGGGAAGAGGAAGGGGGGAGGGGACCGTATTAAAAGGTTAGGTGGGGAGGGGGAGACATGGATATACACAAAGGCAGCAATGATAATACACGGTATCCCTGTACCACGATACCCAACGCACAGGGGAGGGAGGGAAGGGTAGGGAGGGATAATATATATAATAATTAAATAAAAAAAATACATTTAAAAAAAACACGAGGGAACATAAGAGCGAACACACTCCAAACTCCTGGGCGAAGGAACACGACACGGATCGAGGTAACGGGAGCCAGGTCACCGTCTAGATGCAGAGAAGGGCGGGGGAAGGGCCACACAAATAGACTAGGGACATACGAAGCCCACTTACAGGGGGATGGGAACCTGGAAAGGCACCCATAGGGATAGCTGCCACACAAAACGCATAGCAAGCCGCGAGCACGACCAACATAAAAGGGAACAAGCCAAGCCCTTTATACGGTGCCTACAGTTAAACGCGCAATGTTAGGCACACACTTGAAACCTCATACACACTGGCTCAAGCCAGCCTCCAGACAGACACAGAGCAGCGCACCAGATAACAACCCAGGTCCTAGAGCCTGACCAAGGCCAATAACAGTTACTACAGGCTAGGTGACAGAGGAGCCCTCCCCCAGACATCACAAACCCCCAACGCTGCCCTAGACTGTGCGGAGACGGCAGACAAGCCTTAGACTAGGGACTCAAAGCTCCACCCGAACCAAACAAAGGAACCCCGCAGGCCCGATACGACCCACAAGGTACCCCATACCAAAGCGTCCCCACCTCACGAGACAGCTAGATCCAATCCATGCCGGCATCAAACAATCCAAAACACACACGTGAGCAGATGGCAGACAAAAGAAGCAGCCCAGATACAAATCGACGCGACACGCACTCAGAACCCATAATCGATACAAACTAAGGCATGGAGCGGGCGCTCCGAGTAAATAGCCACTCGGGAGACAAACTAAGGACTGCGCACAGTACAAATACGTACACGTAGACCCTCTAGAAACCCAGAAGCAGACTGAGCCATCGCAGACGGTAAGCCCGACACCCCCACAGGCATAGGACATAGGGATCCCCACCTGTCAGGGGATACACAACTCCCGGAATAGACCCAGCCCCCCTCCCAGGCCAGGCATGCATGGGATAGGCATAAGGCTATCCTAACTATAAGATAAGGCCAGGGACTAATGAAAGTATTTAGAAAATTGGGCAAACTAGATGGGCCGAATGGTTCTTATCTGCCGTTACATTCTATGTTTCTATGAATACCCGGGACGACTGTCCATTACCCTACAGTAATACAGAGGCCATATAGGCGTCGTGAATAGACGCAACACCGACTGTACACACGGCAATACACCACCACACACTCCCCAACCGAACCACACAACACGAACCTGTGGCCGTCCGGAAGATGCCAGACCCAGGACCTGGCGGATTCGCCAGGGAAGACCTAACCATACTCTCATATAATGTACACGGCTTAAACGTCAGAGAGAAGCGCACAAGACTTTTGCGGGACCTGAAACACTACAGGACATCGATAGCGTTCCTCCAAGAAACGCACTTTTTTTTTTTTTTTTATTCTTTATTTTTGGCATGACAGTGCGATACAATAATGAAGAAACACATGTAGTACATGGTATAGGTAGCCAATCCGTAATTTAATGTACATATGATTATATCATCGTTGCAGTTTGCGTGAGTGTGTTCAGTTTGGAGAAATGTGCTAAGGAGTGTCATTTTTCGTTCATTTTCATACATACATACATTTTATGAGATATTGTAAGTCTTATACAATAAAAGGGAAAAAGAGAAAAAAGAGAGAATAAAACATGCCATAACTGGGTATTGTAAGTACCGCAAATGTCAAGCTCTGGTTTCAGCCCACATTAGGCCGTATCATTAAATGTGCGACCTTTCTCGTTGCAGGGGGACCCGTTTCTGATAATCTTGGTCCCGTTTCTAGCCATGGTGTTGTATATAAGGCAGGGGTAGGGCAGGAGGGGGGGGGAGGGGAGCAGGGGTGAGGGTCCCCGTGGCGGGGTCCGGAGCGTTGCGGTGTGAGGCTCTGTTGGTGTCTAGTTAAGTGTTGGCACTTTGGGAAGGCCCTGTAGTGGGATTTCCATAGCTCTCCCAGTTCCCTGTTAACCATGGTTCCCAGACCTTTTCGTACCATGTCATGGTGTCTCTCACTAGTGCTGTAAGGTGGTCCATGACCTGGATATCTTTGATTTTGTGGAGTACAGTGTTTATCTGTGGGATTGTAGTTTGAAGCCATGTCTGCGCCATGGTGAGTCTGGCCGCCAGCGTGATTTTGTGTAGGAGTTTCTGTTCCTTTTTGGGCCAGTCTTCTAGTGCTCTGGAGAGCAGAAAAACCCATGGGTCTATTTTGACTTGCCTGCGCTTTCGGGCATTCCCACCACATATGGATGTACGTCCCTTTGGTTCCGCAGCCCCTCCAACACAAGTCGTTTGGGGTTTTATGCATACGGTATAATTTTACTGGGGTGGTGTACCAGCGCAGCATGGTCTTATAGGCCTGTTCCTGGTGGGTAATGCACGCGGAAATAGCTTTATTTGCGTCCCATATTTCTCTCCACTCTGTTCCCTCTAGGGTCTCTTTGAGATCTGTTTCCCAGTGGACGGTGTAGGTCAAGTCGCCCCAGTCACTGTTTGTGCATAAATGTGAGTATAATAAGTCCCTTTGGGGGGTTTTCATTGAGACACATTCGTTCAAAGCCTGTGGACGCAGTTTGTGCTGCCGTTTTGGCCAGATTGTGTTGTGCAAAGTCTTGGATTTGAATATAGCGAAAAAAGTCAGGGGGCCTTAGCCTGGTGCTTTCCTGTAGCTTATCAAATGCCACTATTTGGTTCCCTTCATACAGCTGTAGGCCCGCTACCTCAATGTTTCTGAAGTCTCGGGCCCTCATTCAAGAAACGCACTTTCAAGAAGGAAGAGCACCGGCACTGAGGGACCGCAATTTTAGAACGGGATACTTTAGCAACAACCCAGACAGACGCACGCTGGGAGTAGGTATCCTATTCTCCAGCAGAACCCCATACACCGAACAAGCCACCGTCAGATGCAAACAGGGCAGGTATATCTTCACCAAAGGCACGATCCTCGAATAAATCTACACGTTCGCCAATATATACGCCCCGAACACGAAACAGTTCCTCTTCCTTCGGAACGCACTAAATACCCTGATGAAGTTCGCAGAAGGCACTCTCATCGTGGGGGGAGATTTGAACCTGACTCTGCACCCAGACCAAGACTCCAAATCAGCACTCGGCAAAACTCCGTATAATAGATATGCGAACACACTCCGCCTGCTGCACCAACACCAATTGGTGGATTGCTGGAGAGCGCTAAACCCAACGACGCGGGACTATACATTCTACTCACAGACCCACGCAACATATACGAGGCTAGACTACTTCTTAATAGCACACCACAACTTGGCCCTACTCTACCAATGACGTGGTCGGACCACTGCCCGATCCGCATACGGATGACATCACCGTTATTTAAGCCCAGACAGATGTCCTGGAGACTGAACGAATCAATCCTATCGGATGTGATAGTGACTGACAAAATAGGCCAAATCATACGGGACTACTTCCAAGATAACGAAACAGAGGATGTGATACCAATGACATGCTGGGAAGCACACAAGACGGTAGTATGAGGCCAGATTATAGCAATATGCGCGAACCGCAAAAAGACGTCAGTAAGGGAAATAACCAAGCTCAGCGGAGAAATTGCGATCCTGGAAGCCAGACATAAACAAACCCTAGAAACAACAATATACAGAGAGCTAACAGATAAATGTAACCAACTCACAGCGCACCTTAACAGAAAGATCCAACGCGCATACCAACACTACAGACACATGATACACGAACACAGAGACAAGTGCGGGAGACTGCTAGCCAACCTCCTGAGGCAACGTAGGACACAACTGTATATACCGAAAATAAAAAACGCACAGCAACAAATCAGACACCTCTCAGACCAAATAGCAACGGAGTTCCAACGATACTACCAAGACCTTTACCACCTCCGCAAGGAAGCAGAGGACGACCTGAGACTTAAAAAAAACAGCAGACATACGCAAGTACTTGAACTCAGCGAACATACCAGAAACAACAGAAGCAGAGAGAGAAGCACTAGAAGCGCCTATAACACCTGAAGAGTTGGCATGCGCCATCAAGAAAGCTAAAACGGGCAAGGCACCGGGGCCAGATGGACTGCCCCTCCAATACTACAAGGTCTTCACGCAAGAGATTCAGCCGAAACTACTTAAAGCCCTGAATTCCATACAGGACGGAGCTGCACCAACGGCCCAGTTCACCTCGGCGAACATTACCCTGCTCCCAAAGGAGGGCAAAGACCCGACGTGCCCAAACTACCGCCCGATCTCAGTGCTTAATACAGACATTAAACTCCTGGCGAGCATCCTGGCAACGCGACTAGCGCCGCTACTGCCAGACTCAATCCACCAGGACCAAACAGGGTTTATCCCGGGCAGAGAGGTGAGAGACAACACCATCAGAGCCCTGAACATCATCGCGCACGCTAGAGCACACAAGACACGGACCCTCCTCCTGTCGACTGACGCGGAAAAGGCGTTCGACAGGGTGGACTGGGATATGATGTTCGAGACCCTCCAGGCCTTCGGGATAGGACCTCACTACCTTACATGGGTACGGGCTCTCTATACCAACCCAACGGCACGAATCAGGATAAACGGAGCACTGACGAACCCGTTCCAGATATACAATGGAACCAGACAGGGGTGCCCACTCTCGCCCCTGATCTTCGCGTTGACGCTGGAGCCGTTTCTGCGGAGGATCAGACAGAACGCAAACATACAGGGCCTCACAGTTGGACCGACACAACACAAAACGCTAGCATATGCGGACGACCTGCTGTTTGTGGTCACACATCCGGAGACCACCTTACCGGCGATACAGGCAGAATTTGAAGAATATGGGCTGATCTCCAACCTTCAAATAAACTACACTAAGTCGGAGATCCTCAACCTCACCATTGAGCACGCCCACAAACGGACACTTCAAAGACTACACCCGTACCGTTGGTGCGACCAACGCATGCGGTACCTAGGGGTGTGGCTCACACCCAACCCGGCAGACCTTTACACCCACAACTACTTCCCTATACTAAAAAAAAGCAATGGAGGAACTAAATAAATGGAGCTCTCTCTACGCGTCGTGGCTAGGAAGAGTAAATATGTGTTCCAAACGGTGCCGATACTAGCCCCACAAGCCTTCTTTGAGACACTACGGGCAGAGGTCCGCACGTCCGTATGGAAGGGCAAACCCCAACGCATAGTGCACGCTCAACTAACCCTGCCTAAACTCCGAGGAGGCCTGGCGCTCCCCGATTTCGAAAAATACTACCAGGCAGCGCATCTCACCAGAATCACCAGCTGGTCGGTCGCCAGCGGAACGAAACCATGGACCGAGCTAGAATCTGACATCACTAACTGTGACCTTCGCACGCTACCATGGATACCCAGGGCCGCATACAAGCATAAGCATATCACCAACCCATTCGTGGCGGCGACCATGAAGATCTGGCACAGACAAGGCACGAAGCAATACCTCACGACGGATCCAGGCCCGTTACTGCCGTTGAGAGGCAACCCAGACTTCCCAGCAGGAGACCAAGGCCCCACGCCAGGCCCGGTGGGACGCACAACAACTCCCCGCATGATGGATGTCCTCCAGCGCCCATTTGAAGTCCGCGGCGTCACAGACCTTTTTCCAGACAGAACGCTAACATTTTTACACACACACTGGCGAGAGCACAAATAGTCGGATATTCTCGATCCATCCTGCAAAAAACATCATTACTGAGAGAACCCACACAATTCGAACTACTCTGTACGCAAGAAAACAAAACCCCACGTGCCATTTCACAGATATATGCAATGCTGGTTACGGGTAGGTATCTACTGGCACCCCCCTGTATGAGAAACTGGGAGGAAGACCTAGAAGAACCCATGACAGAAGCGGACTGGGACAAAAGCATCACCCTGATACAAAAAACATCTAGCTCGGCAAGGCTGCAAGAAAACTCGTACAAAATATACACCAGATGGTACTTGACACCGACGGCGCTCCACGCCAGGAATTCGGAAACTCCAGACTCCTGTTGGAGATGTTGAAATGAGAGAGGCACATTCATACACACCTGGTGGACGTGCTCACGACTCCGACCATTCTGGAACACAATTAGAGAGGTAATACATGAAGTAACGGACGAAATGCTTCCGAGTTCCCCAGCAACATTCCTCCTACATCACACGGATATGTCTATACCGACATAAAGTAAATCTGTCATCCCACGGCTCTTAAACGCAGCCAAAGCGACGGTCCCAATATACTGGAAGCAGGCCACCACACCCTCCATCGCAAGATGGGTGGAAGAGGTGGAAGCAGCCAGGAAATTCTAAGACGTGAAGGCAACCACCCCGAACCTTAGTGATCGCTACAGCAAACGCTGGTTTCACTGGATTAGACTAACCGCCTCTGACGCTTTTCAGAACCGCATGGCGACACAGTAGGCGGAGGAGGAGAGTATTAAGCCAAAATAAATACGGCACCAACATGAAGAGTTGGGGAACGGCGAACCGAGACGGCGACAGGGGATGGAATCACCCAACATCACCCACTCAAAATACCCACATACACGTAGACGAGACACGACCCGCCACCACATATAGACATATATCCAAAGGACAACTGGAGGCGAGACAATGAACAGGCCTGTCAGGTACATACACAAGTGAACACACAACACATACGCGACGAGTACATGTGGAAAAAGTCCAGCCGGAGTGCATACTCTCACGGGCACATTTAAAAACAAACAAAAAAAAAAACTGCTGAGACTTCAAACTGCGCTACCTGAACCAAGGCCCACTACAAACACGGACGGTCACGACAGAGCCGACGGCCACTGCAGTCAAATAGAACCAGACGGGAGTTGCGAAACCACACGATCTGAGCGCCACACACATCCACAGCCCAAACACAGACCTTTTTGGTCCACCCCAAAATCCATAGGACAGCACCACAACCACGCACACAGGCGAACCCACCTAAACGCGACAACATCACAACACACAGACAGCGATTCAGACACACCGAAACATTAACCACAAAGACGCAACACTAGAGGCGGACACACAGAGCTCCAGAATAAAGCAACACAACATAGGCACAACCATGGACACACGCAATAGAGGAGACACAGACTTACCACAAAAGGCCTCACCATTACTAGCAGGGGAAGGCCCCGAAACGTACAAAACCAATACAACCTCAATATACACGAGCTAGTAGCCACAAGACACACTAGAACTCAGGGCAGCAAGCAAAAGGCCAGAGCACGCAAACACTAGCCCATTTTCGCAAGATGGGTCTTCACTGCAGTTTATGGCAACATGGATAAATATGCAGACACAGGCATTTCGGAAGAAAACAGCGTATTGTTAAAATATGCCAACCGCATTGCACTCTCCAAATAAGGTAGTCGTTAGTTAAATGTAAAGGGTAAAATGTAAATTGTACCATGCAACACTTTGTTCAAACATGTAATATAAAAGTCATGACTAACTTGCCTCTGCGCAGGCAATAAGATGGCATTCCGACTTGTGTAACTGAAAACAGCGCCTCTGCTTAGGCGAGTACCCGCATATAAACAAAACCAAGTCTGAAATGGAAGTTATGAGGTGATAACAATGAACATATTGGTAACGGATCACCTGGCACCCCGACTGGGTACCTCCGTTGAAGGATGCTCCTAGCGCTTCCTGAGGACTCCAAGCACTCTGGCAGACACCACAATCACCAAACCGGAGAAACAAATAAATTCTCCCAAGCATATGAATGCTGTAGACAGTTGAATAGGAACCATACGAATAGGTTTACCTCCTAGCAGTCAAACTGGAACAGCATACAATGAATCCTTCCCCCAATAATGAGACGACACTTCACTTTGAGAGTTAAAACAGGAACTCAGGTGCTGGCACACCCAGCCTGGTTTTTATTACAGTCTTGCAAATACAGGACCGCCCACAGGGAGGTATAAAACAACCAATCACATCTGTACAATACACACAGACACTCCACACGGAAATCCACTCCCCTCACCACCTGTAAGCCACAATTACCTTACACAATGGGTAATCTAATTATCACAGACAGAGAAATACAGTTTCATAAAACACATCACAGGGACCCCAAAACATGCAATAACCCCATAAAAAGTATATCCGGGGGATCTGGGTGAACCACATATCCAAAATTCACCCAGATCCGTTCAGTACTTTGGAACATACAGTTTAATGGAGATTCTGCAGAACATATACAGGCTAAATGAAAAACAATCACTGTATAATGTGTCCCCTGCTGTATAGTCCAAAACCACTGCACGATGTCTCTGTGCACCAAACACTGGCGAGATGGCACCGTGTTGAAAAGTCCAAACAGTGTCTGTGAGTTAAAATGGCCGCCATCCATTGTTCTCACCATGTGCCTCTGATACAGGAAATGGTGGCCACCCAGTAACTCCACAGTATGTCCCCAGATGGTTCTTAAAGGGCCAGCAGCAGCTCTTTAAAGGGCAATACATCCTAGGGGCCATAGTCACATGGCAGGAGGCTGGCAATCAGTCTTTTCCAATGCCCAGTGGCGAGGTCGGTTTCGCCACAATATTCAAAACAGAATATACGTTAACTCCCCCACAGTCAGGGAAGACGCTTACAATGCATGTCCACACATAGCCACACTGGCACATATGAAAAGCTATGATACCCTTAAGGGCTAAATTTCACAGACAAGTGACGTGACACATCACACGCAAGGCTACATGACATTAGTGCTACACTGCTTAAAACCGCTGGCTCAACGACTGGCTCATATGCCCAGAGTATCTAAGGCCACACTCCCGCAGTAAGAGGGCCTATACCACATCAGTTCATGTCGCATACCTAGCGGCAAAATGTGTGAGACGCACCTTAATTAAAGCACCCATTAACGAACCACACTAGTAACATTCAACGAGTTGATCTGCGTCAATAATACTATGTTCAACACCCGTGTTTATATTGATGACAATAAACATATTTAAAACAAAAATCACCCAGATCAGTTCAGGGATTCAGAAATTTTATGGAAGTCGCATTTTGACCGACCGCAGGCATTGTCCCATAGCCGAAAACAGTTCCATAGAATCGCGGCTAAGTGGCGCTGGGGAACCAACCGGGAACCGTGAAAATAGTTCCAGGGCATTCGCGGCTAAGTCCCCCTGAAGTCTATTCGCGGATTTGATCCATGCGAACTATATGGCCGCCACCTCGTGGTCGTCCATAGGAATTGCGGCCACCCAGACGAACACTTAGAACACTGCAGTGGAAGTTGCAACAATGTATCAATTAAGCTTAACAAGCTCCTGGGTGGTCTCCGGTTCGTGCGGCTGCTCAGTTACCGAGCCATATCATTCAAATAGACAAATGGAAACTTTTATAGCACAGTTTACAGGGTCCATAGTCTGTGGGCAGGAGGCTGGTCAACAGGCCCCTACAAGGACCAGTGGCGAGGTTACTTTTGCCACAGGAACTACCGACTGTGGGGAGCATATGCTCCCTAAAAGCCAGGGGGAGTGTTCGTCGGTGTTCGCACAGGAACCCCCAAAGGTAGACCGGCCGTTACACTTGTTTCTCAGGAACTGATTTGGGCTATCACCTCGTGGTCGGCCTGTCAGAACTTTAACCGAATGGCGATTCTGTTCTACCGAACGGATCTGAGCCCTATTTGGACAACTTGGGCGCTGAGATCCGGGGATATAAGACTTGGGAGGGGTTTGTGTAGTTTGGAATGGAAATTCCATGCTGGGGGTCTGTGCATAAAAGGCTGAGTTTGTGCGGAATAAATCAGTTGTACTCCCAGAACTGTGTGCCATCCAGTTATTGGGGAGGGATAGAGCACAGACACTCATTCAAACAGCATACACACTCATTCAGACAGCACACACACACACACACACACACAC